AAAAAATTAAGTACTTCCGCACTTAAAATGATCCTTTTAATTCGAACTCAGGGGAACTCAGGGACAGTTTGAATAATAAGTTTTTTACATGGATTTATGCGTGTAAAAAAATTATTCCATCCACACCGGAACTGAATTGGAAATTTTATAAGTAGAGCGAATTCCAAAAACTCTACTTGTCAATTAGTATTAAGTGTGAAAAATTCATTAATGCAGTCTAGTTTTATTTGGGAGTATTAGGTTTGATTTGGATTCGGAAGTAGTCAGAACTGGTTTGGTTATCGAAGATATTCTGTTTTTTCTTTATGTAGGTACTGCTTAAGTTACTCAATGCATTAGCATTTTTGTGTCAAACAGTATTAAAAATACATCGCAATATATTAATATAATAAACATAAGTATTATTAATATATAAATAAATAAATCAAAGAATAAATCAAATTAATTATAAATATATAATTATCTATATCACATATATTGCAGGACTTCAAATTATTTATTTTGATAATGTTACTATATACATAGGCTTAATAGAGTGAAGCTCTTAACTTATTGTATCTATATTGTATTGTACCTCAATATAAGACTTGATCATTTCGTTTTACATATAAGATAATACAATTAATATTATTATGGCTACAAGCATTAAGACCGGCATGGGGAGCCGAATAATTGAAATTGATTCAATCGTGCCGTTCAGTTTCTATTCTTATGTCACTCACTTACTGAACTTATTAAAGTTATAGAACTTCTTGGAAATTCACATATCTGTAATTATATTATCTATCAAAACAGGTCACTACTGTTGACAGATTAGTATTGTTTTTATTATGAAATATTACTATAGACACATTTTAAGAGACGCTCTCATCCCACATACACCTCCTTTCTTCCCAGGAACTCTTTCATGCAACATGTTGAAAAAAAGATATTCAAATTATGCTATTATTATGGTAATTATAGTAAATATGGTATTCAAAAGACAAAGCGGACTAAAGATTGGTCATGTCTTTAGTTGGGAACGAGTTGAACCCTCTCATTGATTTATCAAAATTTGTAATAGAAAATGAAAAATGGAGTATGCTGATTCCCTCATTTTAAGATTCGTTTAGATTATCATCCACTTAAGTGCAAAATAATCAACTTACGTGTAAAATAACCAACTTATGTTCAAAATAACTAGGAGGAGACAATTTTCTGCTATTAGAAAATTTTAATTCCGGAACCTTTAATGCATAACAAAGTCAAGTTCTAGCTTATGAACATCTTAATTTCAGAAAGTTTTAATTTGTGTGTAATTATATTACTGTGTATAATATGATCCTCCAAATGTGAAAGATAATTTCTCTGCCAAAAAAAAAAGACGATAAAATTGTTTTTGTGATTTTGTGGCTAACTATACAGCTGTTTCGAGTACTGTCAAATACCCAGTGGTCTTGGAATTATATCTAGTATTTAATAATTCGTAAATAAATTTTTTGAGACTGCAAGTACCAACGGTTGATTTTGTACCCTGCCAAATTAAAAGCTCAGAGTCAGTGTTCATTACCCAACTGACCCAAAGACGTGTTTCACTTGTATTTTTGAACTTGGAGTTTTTTTGATTTCGCCGTGAGAATATTATTAATTTGTATATTTATATATTTATAAATATAATAAAAGAAATTTAAGTTGTTGTAGTTTGCTACTGTTTGAAACGTCCCTACTAAATACAATAGTTTCTATAAAGTAAAATAGTCACTACCGTCATAACTGACATTAAAATTCAACAAAATTTAATAAGAACTCTCTGATTCGATTAAAAAAATGCCTAACAGACTAATGTAGAAAATATGAAGATATATGACATTGTATAACAATTTATCTTCTATAGTCAGTATCTTTTTTAAAGAATTTATCTTACAAATTTACTATGACCAAATTTTCTAATATAGCGCAATTGTACTTGACTTTCCGATCATTTTCTTCAAAATATGAATAATTTGATGTGAGGTCGTCTAATTCAAATATGAAGGGGCTTCCTTTAAAATTCTAACTAAATGTAAAGTTCCCCACCTATGGCAATACCCTTCGCCGTTCATCGAACACATTCCATTGTATTTTTCTGTTTGATTTTCCAATTTGGTTGCATTTAAAATTTTTCCATTATTTCGCGTAACAACAAATCGAAGTGGAATTGTTCAATTATTTCGCTTCAAAATAATGTTAAATTTCATTATTTGATATTTTTTTATTTGCTTAATTAATTTTTGCGATTTTTATTGAACACAAACGGGTTTACTTTGTTGGCTTTGTTGGCTTTTCGAATTTAAACGACTCCGAACAATTGGATTTTGTGTGAGTTTTTGTGGTTTTTCGGAGTTTTTGTTTTGTTACGGAGCGTTATTTTTTGAAAGAAATTTAAATTTGTAATAATTTTTATGATTACTCAAATTATTATTTTATTTTATTTTATTATTATTATTGTTGTTATTGATTATTATTGATATTGTGGTGTTGTATGAACTTCCTTTGTTGGTGCCAACAATATTTGGTAATTGTTATTCGACAATTGCTTTTGTAATATTTTGCATATTTTAACACTTTTCTCATATTAACAGATTCTTATTAATAAGTTAAAAATTACGTTTAAACTAAGTTATAGAATATTATAATATTATTCAATAAAAATTATATTTATAATAACTCCATTGAAAATTATTAAATCGTTTCGAAATAATATTTTTACCACAACCCTGCAGGCATAAAAGTGACGGAGACCCATTGTCTATAGGGCCGTAGTCAGCTAGGAATCTCTGAAATGGCATCTCGTAAGCTTTAGTAAAGTATTCAGATGGCTTAAAATACTTCAATTTTTATGTGATAACACAATAGGCCTAATGAGATGCTTAGATTACTAGGTTAGCTGATTATTATTAAAAATTAAAATGATATTTGGCAAAACAACTCGAAACAGTTGTATGGTCAGCCCAAAATTTAATTAATTAAAATAATATAAAATAAATTTTTGTTGTTGTATTTAACTATTGTTGGAAAAATCTGTTTATAAAAATTAAGCATCATTCTTTAAAATTTTCTTTATATTTAACCCAATACCCTGGACCTAACAAAGCGGTCCAGGGTGCCAGAAGAACAGCTAAGAACACTTTTTTAAATTTTATTTTATTATTATTTTACCAATTAAATTACAATAGGTGACATTTTAAAATTTGCAATTCTAGAAATTAATTAACGTACAAAAACGAAAAACAAAGTGAAATAATTAATTAATTAAAAATAATTTCCTTGAAGATGACTATCGAAGATAATCGAAATATCGAAAAAAATATCTTAATAATATAATTTGTTTTAAATATAAATAATAAATTAAAATTTTTTTTAAAGACTTTTTTCGAAATGTAGTGAACAACAACAACAAAAATATTTTTTTTAAATTATTTTAATTAATTGAATTTTTGGCTGTCTATACAACTGTTTCGAGTATTGCCAAATACCTATCATCAGTGGTCTTGGAAATAATTCTTGTATTTAATAACTCGTAAATAATTTTTTGAGACTGCAAGTATGAGGAATCGACATCGTACCCTGCCAAATTGGAAGCTCAGAGTCAGTGTTCATTAGTCTACCGACCCAAATCCGTACCTGACTCTTATATTATTAATTTGTTTATTAACAATTTTACTTGCTGTGTTTATATTAGAACGAAATCATAAACCAGCTGTAGTATTTTTGAATTAATTAATTAATTAGATTTTTCTTTTTAATTGTTAAATTTCAATACTATTAACACTTAAATTTTTTTGTATTTTATTTAAATGATCAGTTAGTTCACTAACAAATTAATGAGAAATAATTAATTAAGATATGAATATGTGTTATAATGTACTGTAATGAACCCTTCTTGCGGTTTGTTTAGAGCTGGGATAACTCAGCCGTGTTCAAGGTCCTCACAAGAAATTTGTTCGTTGATATCCTGTCACTTCCGTTGAACTCTGAAGGCCTGAATTGAAGGTTAACTAAATCACTCTATACAGCTGAACCCCTCTCGATACTCGACACGATATAATACAGGCACATGTGATTGTTAAAGCTACGTGGGTTGTATTACAGGTCGTAGACAACACGCCCTTGTCTGTGCACTGTTAAAGCGTCCAGGGGTCGGAGACGTTAGGTTACTGTTAAAAGTCACCTAAAGTTTCCGACACTATTGTATAGACACTCGTAACTGTTAAAGCTACGTGTGTTATACTCCGTGCGATCTAGGTTCAGTAACTGTTAAAGCCCTGAATCTTGTTCACCTTTTCAACACTTTGTTCCATCCATCAACACTATTTGCCACCGCTACCTAATTCGATTCCAGATTTATCTTAACCACTCGCTTATGAATATTATGAATATTCACCTGTATCTGTGGGATTTAACAGCCAAGCGCCTTTGCACACGGAATTTTCCCAACCAACAAAAATTATAGTCAATACATTTAATTTTAAATAATTCGTAAATATATTTATTCTTTTTCCTTTGGTATTGACATTGGATTTTATAAAAAAAACTTAGTTGCTCATAGTATTTACATTTAAGAAGTTTACTTTAAACATACTTCTTAATAAATTTGCATTAAATAATTACAGTTAAATAATTTTTCCAAACCCAGTAATCAATCGCTTACAACTTCATTGCCAAAGTCGACGTCGTCAAAGAAAAAGGTGTTCTTGGTGCACTCACTTTTTATACCGTCAACGATCAACGGTGCCAGCTGTCAACGCGTTAAAGTTCAATGACCGTTGATCGAAGCTCATTATCTGATCCCTCTGCAATGCACCAGCGAAAGTTTAGCTTTAGGGCGAATTTTGTTTCTTGCTCATGTGGAAGCTGGACGTTGTTCTTTGTTTAAGCTTTGCTCTAGTTCCACACCTTTGCGCAAAAGCTTTCTTAGTTGACAGTTCGTTCTATTGCTTTGTTTTGATCTTATTTGTTTTTTTACAATGTCTTGTGCCGGTCAACGTGTTTATTTTATTCTTTTAAGTGAAAAATTATTTTAAAATTGTTTTATATTAAACAAAGTTTCAGCAAAATCGAACACTCAACGATAGCTCAAGGTATGTGCATTATTGCTTTATTCAAATATATTTGTTTATGCATTCACCAATAATTTTCATGCAATTTCAGGGTTTATCAAGTGTAAAAGTTATGTTGCTGGCGGCAGTGGGTTGCGGTGAGCTGTAACACATTCTGTTACAGGTGTTTTCGTAACAGAATCCATTTCGTTTAACCCAGTTCTCCTTTTAATACAAGTGCGTTAGAATATCTTGTTAGAAACTGTGCTAGAGAATCGTGTTGTGTTTGGAAATTTTCAACCGCGTCCATTTTGCTGTACTAGAAAATGTGTCGTCCGTGTCAAGTGTTCAAACGATTAAGCTTTTTACTAAAAATTTTAATCATTACAGTATTAAATATAAATAAAAGGATAAAATTCATATAACTACAATTGTAAACACAAGTGCCCGCAACCCTACCCATACTTTTGCTGTCGATTTGTCACATTTAGGAAGGCTCATTACCAGGTACGTAGTCAGGGAAGGGCCTTATGAAACCGAAGTTCTTGCTAAATTAACCACATTGCTTTTGTGTATATATAAATTATATATTAACAATAAATTGCGAACGGCTTTAAAAATATCGAGTACAAATTACGTTGGTAAAGACTGAAACGTCTATAGTAGTCTTGAATTTTAAAATAAAGAACAGTGATGCAATAAAATATTATTTAATATAAATGAGTACTAGTTTCCCGGTACTAAAATACATATTTTCAGAAATATATATTTGATCACACATATGATCAAAGAATATTTTGATGTTATGACAAATCATTTTAATCATTAAAGCCATGATAATGAAACAAAATTTATAGGATAATATAATTGTCCACGTAAGTGGGCTTTTTCTAGGCGATCAGTCCATGAACACAAAATAAAGTAAAGCTTACATGTCGGTGATGTATATATTCTAATATAAAAGATATCGCATTACGTAGACAGCTTAAAACTCTTTATATACTTATGTGGGTAGAGAGAAATAGCACCATATTTATTCTTACCCTTAAATACCTTTTTTGCATTTATATTAAAATTAATACGTCAAAAGCTTTGAATAATAATTCTTGCACTCATAATTATTTTCTAGATATATGAGTATATAAACATTCATCCATGCAACCTTTAACTTTTTTGTGTAAACGGAAAATCGCAACTGGTCCTTGTTTTAATTAATATATACTATTTGTAATATTCTGGCTAATGAATCTTGTTTTAATTAATATATATTATTGATCATATTATGGATAATGAATATTGTTTTAAATATTACAAATTATTGGTCATATTCTGGATAATGAATCTTGCCTTAATTAGTATAAGTTATTGGTCATATTCTCGATAATGAATCTAAGTCTAATGAAAAAATATTAATATATCACTAACAGACTGGCTTTTTAAAGGTATTTATAAAAAGATATCTACAAACCATATGAGAATTACAATTAATATTACGTATTATATAATTGTTGAACTTTCAAGTTAGACAGTACAAACAATATTCAAACTATCAAACAAGTTGAAAGAATGCTTATATTTGCAAAATATCATGTCGTTATAAAAAATAATTTAAATTAAATAAATAGCACTAACATTTTTTTCTCTTATTTTGTTTTTTTTATTTTCTTTATATCCTGCTTATTCTTTTATTTAGTGCTAATAGAATATGGATATAAAATTCGGTATATGATGGCTATTGTATAAATACAAAGTAGTAATTGTCGGAATACTAAGTATGTCTCTAACCCTTGTTGCGTTGATAAAAATTAGTATAGAACTCACTTTACAGAGTTTTATTGCCTCTTCTGTAAGGATATACATTCCAAGAGCCTATTCCATATATGCATTAGCGCAGGGCATTCTAACAGCTCATGTATGGCTGACTTTTCATTCTCTTCGCAGAATCTACTGTTTGTTTTCGTATAGATATCCAGTTTTTCTTGTCAAGTTTTTCTTTTAATAAGTCTGTAAAATCCTGGTATCTCCTATTTTTATAGGTATCCATAAGTGATTTGGATTGTGTTAATCGTGTTAAATTATCCTAGTATTCCTTCATGTAATGGTTCTCCTTTATATTTATGTGAAAGAAGAATGTACTAGTCCACAGAAACTTTCTGGTCCCATCAGCAGTGTGGCTACCTCTTTCCTTGTTAGTTTGTCTGCGCATTCATTTCCACGTACGCTAGTATGTCCCGGTATTCAGATATTTGATATTTTATTTTATTCGCCGAACTAAATTATGCCTGTTTAGAATTTTTTTTAAGTTTTCACAAGTTAATCATAACAACGAATGATGTGTTTTCATTGTGTGAGCTTATAAAATATATATATTTTATAAGGATATATTTGTATCGTACGCTGTCTTGAAGAAACCATATAAAGAGAAGGCAACATGTTGTAAAATAATAAATAAATACTGTCTGCTTGGGCGAGCTAGTTTGGAGAACAAAATTTTGTTACACAAACTGATTAAAATGGTTTCAACATATATGACTTTGGGACATTGTAAGTTCTTTCAATATAATTGTACTATAAAGGTTTCAATCAAAAATATTAGAAAATATTGTTCAAGCTGTATGGTATCTACCAAATTAAGCCATTCATCAGAACCTGAAAATTTCTTTTGTAGGAATTGATATTCGAAAACCTAGCAAATTATATATATGAGTACATAAGGGATAATTGGCATCCCTATGAGCTAGTTCTGAATCTTTTGAACAACAACTAGTTCCTTCAATGTAATAATACTATAAAGCTCTTTAGTATCTACTAAATTTAGAAATTAATATTCGAAAATCTAGCATAAAATATACCAGTACTTAAAGTCTAAGCCGGCATCCCTATGTGCTAGCTTTGAATCTTTTAAACAACAGCCATTCTAAGAAGAGGTGGGAAAAATTTCGGTTTTTGGAACTATTACAAGAGTTTGAATATAATTTCATATAAATTGAGTTAGGTGGTGAAAAGTATCTTTTAAAAATAAATAAAAACTTATCTTCAAAGAGATTCAGAGTGATGAAAGTTCTTTTTTAATGGCCAGTTGAAAAAGAATTTTTTTACAATTTTAAAGCATTTAACTTTACATCGTTTTATTGAGAATCTTGATATTATAAATGTAGAATTATATATACTCGTATGAAAAAATTTTTAATTGTAAAAGAAAAGTATTTACACAGAAGTTGAGCTTAATATGGTAAGTGTTAATTTATGTGAATTTCGCCTTTGACGCTTGCGGTGCGTTATGTTTTGCTTTGAGTCAAAAGTGGTACTGTGTCAAAAGGCTAGAAAGGATATGTGACTTTTATTAATTTTTCGCACACTTGATTTTGGCTTTATGTCACCTTTGTGAACACAAAAAGGTAGAACTAGTAGCTTACTTTTTAATTTAATTAGGCACACCTGACAGTTTGTCAAAGAAAAGCGTTCAAGTGCCTTTGCATTGACATTCCCGTACAATGTCTGAGCCCATAGGAGAGAGATTGTGTGCTGTAATGGAACCGGCAATCACAGAAATGACAGTTGAGTTAAATTTCTTTGGAGAAAATAGAGTTACACTATGGCTTGGCTTATTTTCAACAAAACACATAATTATTTTTATACAACTTTTTACGTTTATCCATATGTCTTTGTAGTGGCAATACAATTTTATGAATATTTTAATTTAAATGCTTTTGCAGTGCAATTAATTGAAGTGTGGCACAAAAATGGCACATTACCATGCCAACGATATATATGATGTGTGTCTAGTATATACATATATATTTAAATATATCTACAATGTAGTTTAAACGAGTATGTACCAAACATTCAAATAAAAAATTTAATGAATCGTAAAGTATAAAAATACTGAAGTGCACTTGCATTGAAAACTTATTAAACTCATAGCGAAAACATATTTTTTACTGTAATTTGTAATTTGTAAGCAGTTAAAAACACTTAACAGTTTCCACTGCTTACCAATTACAAAATGTCACAATTGCAGCATCAAGTTCTGCTCAATGTACCCCATTCGCAGGAAGAATTGCACAAAGGACATAATACCCGATACTGAATTAAAAATTAACCACAAATTGTAAGGATCTGAATCGGTTTGCGGTAAATGCTTTAATTGCACTCAGCGCTTGTGTGAGTGCCTGTTTGGTAGCTCGACGCGCGTCCACTTGACTCCTGCAACCAAGCAGGATCACAGCCGCAGCCACAGCCTCGGCAACAGACATAGACCCAGTCACAAACGCAGTCACAAATGCCTCTACTGCCGCTAAAATTCATAAAATTGACATTTTTCTTCTGCCATTTTGTAATTATTTCATAAATGGTTTACATTTGTGCTTTATTTTCCCTTTGTGCTTAAAATGGTAGTCTAATGTATAAAAAAGTACAAAAGTACAAATGTAAATCTGAAAAGGGCACTTAAAACGTAGCGGACCTTCTCGAATGCCACGGCAACACTCGAATGCTAAGTGAATTGCGAAGGAATGAGTCAATCATACGAAATAATTTTAAATAATATTAGTGTTTTTTTAAATAACAATGGTGTTAAGGACACGAAATTCCTTATAATGTGTGAAATGTAAAGGAAATTTTGAAATTATTTAAATTATTTTAAATATTTATATTGTATTTAAAATCGTTTTCCTTATAAGCGTTCACACATATGTATGTTTAAATATCTTTAACCCCTGAAATATATATATTCTGTTTATAAAAACCGCATAAATTTATTTAAGTGTTCAAACATATATGAAGAAATATTATTGGAAAGAGTATAATTACTTTTTTAGTTGCTATTTTCCAATTGCTAGATATAATATATTACAAATTTTAAATAATTTTCTAAAGAATATGTGATATTAAAATTAAATAATATGATTTCATTAATTAAAACGACTAACTTGGCGCAAGCATATTAAAGCCAAAAAAAATTCAAATGAAACTTCAAGCCTCTAGACTATAAAGTACTCTTGTAGGTATAACAGTATCATAAAATCAATATGGACTTATGGTATATGATGATGCCAGTGCTTTAAATATTGAAATTATCCAAAAAGCTCAGTCAAAAATACTGAGCTGATATAAAAATAAAAATACTGGTATATTAGGAATGGAAGTATCCACAGAGATCTACAAATTCCCTAAGTTAAAGCTGAATTTGACAATATAAGTACTTATTAAACTCATCTAGAGTATAAAGTACTCTTGTATAACAGTATCATAAAATCAAAATGGACTTGTATTTGATAATGCTAGTGCTTTAAAGCTCAGTCAAAAATACTGAGCTGATATAAAAATAAAAATACTGGTATATTAGGAATGAAAGTATTCACAAAGAGTTGACCGTCTAGCTATTAATTAATATTCAATAGCTTCAAGTAAAAACCGTACCTTTCTTTTTAGTAATCTGATAAAGTTTAATTGCTTTCTTAAGTGAGGTTCATGATATAATGTTTATTTTATTTTATTTTATTTTA